GACCACTCTGCAAAGGGCCCCCCAGAAGCCTGGCACTCCGGCCACAGGCACCTTTGGGGCCGACAGCTGCTCGCTGGCCCGGCAGGCCTCCTACTCACCCTGCTCTTCCCCAGCTGCACTTCCACCAAGGATGGCGTGTGGCGTGGGATAGGCACAAGGCAAACCCTCATCCTCCCTTGTGAAATTTCTTTTTTTTTTTTTCCCTTAAGCCTGGTGAAATTTCTTTTTCTCCCTGCTAGTCATTGTCAAAGTCTGTGTCACAGGATGATGTTCTAGCATGACCATGAAACTACTTCTTTCCAATAACACTTTGAAGAGTTCCACTTGTATTCTATAATCCAACCACCACTACCACACACAAGGGATAATCCAGGAGCTGCAGACCTACTAATATCCACCTGTTCCCACTGGTGGGTCCCTAATTTCCTGCAGCAAAGTTAACATAGCTGCACCTTTCTAAATATATAAATTAGGTGACTACATAAAATAATACTTCCTCAGAGACGAGGTCAAACTTTTTGGAACTGTAAGATTTACATATACATATGTCCAAAAGAATATTAAAACAATAATAATTAAGCAAACTAGAAACAGATCAAAGCTGTTATGAGGCACTGAGACACCCTAATTGTGCCACAGGTCCTGACAAGAGGCTTCTCCAACTGAGATGCTTTAGTTATCCATTTACTGATAGAGGTCAACTATAGGGTCAGGGCTTTGCTGGCCCTGATCTCCAGGGAAAATGATTGTAGCAAGACTTTCAAAATATGGAATATGTAACTTAGTACTGAAATTTAGAAGGCCAACTATTTAAGAGACTCAAGCCATAAAATAAAAATAAGGTTGGCAAAAGCATTTCTTGGAAAGATTTAAAAATATCGTTTTGATATCTGTTATAACCTGACCAAAGCACTGCCATCTTGTTCTGTCTGCGCCGTCTTAGTGAACCATGTCAGCTGCTGTAAAACGTGCCTATCTCACAGCACTTCCGTTCCGGTAAGCCATTGCTGCGAGCCCTCGCCCCACCCTCGAATTCCAAGAACCTCTCCAGACCCCTAACCATATCTCGTCTCAGCAGCTGCCCTGTCTCCTTGGACTCCCTGAGCTGTACCCCGCCTGCTTCGTGGTTTTAAGCTTTATAAACCCCACGCTCCCCCGCTTCGGGGCGCACTTAGGCGCTTCGCGCCGGGTGTCGCCGCTGGGTACCAGCTAGAATAAAGCGCTTCTTTAACTTTTGGACTTGCCTCGTTGTCATTCGATTTTTGAGCTACGACAATATCTAGCTTTCTGGCTATCTAGTTTGGAAGTCAGAAAAGCTTATGAGAGACTATCAGAGTTGGAAAAACTATCACTAGTAGATAAGAAGTGCATTCAAATTCATAATGTAAACAAATGAGAAAAAAGGCAAAAGACACAATCAAGAGGCCACAAGAGGTAGCCAAAGTTTTAGGCTGACGGCTGCTTTTATGGCATCAGAATGATCAAACAGTAGCAATTTCCCATAGCTCCTTTCCGGACGCACCCCAAGGCAGAGGCCGCACCCCAAGGCAGAGGCCGCAGGCGCTGCTGCTCCGGCCGGGTCAGCACAGGTGGACGCAGGCGTCTGAGCCAGCAGGGCCGTACACTAGAGCCTCTGCGCGGCAGTGGAGCTGAAAAGGAGCGACCCTAGGAGCCCACCAGGCTGGGAAAGGGCCGAAACTGTGAGCCCAACTCCGAACAGCACTGTCACGTAAGATTTTTTTTTTTTCAAAGAAAGTTACCAAACAACTGATGCTGGTTCTATATTAATACTATGATTTCAAACAAGTCCCTTATCGTTAGAGTCAGCTTCCTCATCTCTAAAATTAGAACTAAGTCCAGTACCAGTAGCTTTAACCAATGTCTAAAAATATAAAATGACACGTAACTTATGACAGACTACCTCAAGGCTGCCATACGCGCGCTTCAGTGTACCTTTTTCATACATGTGGCTTTCTGCGTATTGCCTCTCCACTCCTTTTTGCAGTAGTCCAATATGTCCATCTCAGGAGCCACACTCAGTCTAGGTTCTGTTAAAGAAGTAAAAACAAAAAGGTAACAAACCAAAGCATGACCACAACAATGCACTGCTTTACTTAGGGTCCACCCTTCACACCTCCTTCTCCCTCACTTCATTTACAATCCCAGAATTCCCCACTGCCTGCTCATTAATGCAGACGACCATCACTGACCAGAGGCAGGGGCCTGCGTCTCAGGGGTCTCATGTCACCACACCCTGCGGGCCATTCTCCGCCCAACAGCCAGCCAGGGATGCCCAGCTAAACCCTGAGTAGAGCTCAGAGAGCTCTGGGGACCCCCTGTCCCACTCCTCTTGTGAGAGAAAGCCACAGCCTGACTGACTCACACCCCAGGCACCCCACTCGCACAGCCCCACCTGAGCCCTCCTGGTCCTCCCCAACACTGCGGACCAGCACGCCCGCACCCTACAGGGCTGCTCCCTCCTCCACAGGCCCCCGTGTCCTTGGTGTTACCACAGCAACACACGATCCTTCACTCCTCTCACACCATTTTTCTTCCCAGTGTTCATCAACACCTTATACATTTTTTCTGTAACTCTCTCTCTCTCTCTCTCTCTCTCTCTCTCTCACACACACACACACACACACACACACAAACAACCATACACAAACACAGTTAAAAACAAGGGCTCCTTGAGGGCAGGGGCTTTGTTTTGTTTCTGAGCGCTCAGAACCTTACCTGTCCTCACCCACAGGTATCTGCAAATGCATCCCTAACCAAAAACACAACAGTCAGCTCTTACCAACGTATAATTGGAGATTGGTATCTACTATACAAAGAGGTAACTACAACAAAATGTACTTGTCATACGTCTCTATCTCTATCTCTATCTTCTTCCGTAGCCCCCAAAGGCTACGATCTGTTTGACAATCAAAAGTAACAAAGCTCTGTTAGTTGATCCATAGACTTCACTTGACTCTAACACCACACGACTCTAAATTATACATATTTATTACAGGTTTTAGAATGACAACAAAAGTTTTACATTTTCCTTGTTTAACCTGTATTTGGGAGCTAACCTATTTTTGTAGTATATGTGTACACACATGTGCGGCGCTCGCATCTATGTTTCAGGGAAATAATGAAGAAAATGAAACAAATTCCCAGGTATCTCCTGACTTCCTTCAGGAGATGCTTGGAGGTAGGTGTTAGTGAAGATTTGGGGACATAAACCTAGACGAACTTCACAATCTATTTACTGAGGAAGTTGTACGCAGATGTGTTTTTGAGCTCAATTCAACAAATATTTACTGAGGGTGTCTGGTACATGTCAGATCCATGTCAGACCCAGCGCTGGGAACTGGAACTCTAAAAGCAATGAAGATAGCGATTCCGCCCTGAATGGCCTCACAGACTGACAAAGACCACAGGCCACTCCAGATGCCCAGAAGCCCAGAGCACCCCCATGATCCAGAAACCCTCCCTACAGCTTAAATCAAATATTTTTAAAGTAAAGTATATGGGGCCGGGGAGATGGCTCAGTAGAATAAGCACTTCCCTGGCAAGTGGAAGGGCCTGAGTTCAACCCTGGTTCTGCCAAAAAAAATAAAAAAAAATAAAAAGTAAAGTATATGAACTGCCTTTCAGTCTGGCATAGTGGGGCATGCCTGTGACCCCAGCACTCAGGAGGCTCAGGCAAGAGGATGGCTGCAAGTTTGAGGCTAGCCTGGGCTACAAAGTAAGTTTGAGGCTAGCCTAGACTGCATAATGAAATCCTGTTTCAGAAAGACAAAAAATAGTAATAATAATAATTGCTTACTTTCAAGAAATCTCACTGTGAACCCTTTCATAAGGAAAATGAATCTTTACATAAACGAGAAAATTATACATACATTAGCATTGGCTTAAAAGTCAAACAGATCCCTGAGACATAACACACAGACACTACCTATACCAGTGCTGCACAACCAACCCTTAAGGGCTCTGTATCTTAAATTCAAGAGATGTCTTAGGTCTGCTGAATACAGGGAAGAGTTCCCTGAACCTGCCTTTCCACTTATGTCCTCCCAAACCAAGAAGAACTGTACCTGTATGTAGTGAGGACACGCCTGCTTCTTCCCTCAACACATGTGCGCACACACACCTCCCACACCACCAAACCTGGCCGGAGAGCAGAGGGGCTTTACATACACAAGAGGTCGAGCCACAGGCCACTGTCCCACCCTGAATCAGGGCCAGCCTGAGGACTGAGGGGTAGGAAAGCCCAGTGGTGGAAGAGTCGGCAGCATTCAGACACTGCCAAACTCCTATCTGGTCACCATGCTCTGGGAGGAGGACTCCAGGGGCTCCTACACGCCTGGTCAGGCTGCAAGCACGAGAAGAGACATGCAGTTTGCCATGGCAACAGTCCCTTTCTCTATTTATACACTGCAGACCCTGGTTTCTTTTTCCGGGAAGGAATACATCTAACAAAAGATAAATCAGGGAAGGTGAACACCAGAGCGCAAACGACGACACTGAAGCATACAGGACATCGGTGCTGAGTGACAAGATGCGCGGCACACACGGTCAGACCCCAGAAGGTGGGACACTGAAGTTCCCCTGGGAGGGCCTCTCGGAGGACAGACAGGAACAGGACCTCAAACTACGGGAAACCGGGCAGACAGGCAACAACGGAAGAGCCGTGAGGTTTCTACCACAACTGCTCGACTTCACGCATAAAAGGCACCAAAGTTAGCAGATCACATTCAATCTCAAAACATGGTTTTTGGACCCCTGACTAGGTGAGAACATTTTTTCCTCAAAACAGAGAATAAGAACCCTTCCTGCCTCAGTCTGGGCTCTGCTTTGAGGACAGGGGGTGCTGCCCAAGAAGGCCGTTTCACGAAGGACAGTGAACTTAGGACGAAGGCCCACGGAGTGGGAAGCGATCCACTTCACTCTCATGCTAAAGCTGAAATACAAGGGCCCTGAAGACCTTGAACACGCAGGTGGGGCAGGGCGCCAGACAGATCACAGCAGAGCCTGGCAAGCAAAGAAGCAAGCTGGGTCCCCAGCAGCCACGATGGCAGAAGATGCATGCTCTCCTAGATCAGGACTCTGTGGGGCAAGCAGCTCTGAGCAACCTCAGCAGTGGACAGCAGAGGGTTTTGCTGAGGCCCAGGAGTATGCCAGGGCTACTATGAAGAGCATCTCCTCTGGCCACCACAGGATGGAGGTCACTAATTTCCTCTGAGGAAGACTGGAAAACATCAAAAGCCTTATTGCATGCCATTTATTCCTAATTGTAGTAACACTTTGTGAACCATACATGAACAGAAGCCAGTTCTCAAAAATAACCAGAACACCTACACTGCCCAGCTACTGAGAGAGAAAATGCTACTACAAGTTATCTGTGTGCAGCTCCTGGGGGCCCGCACAGAAGGATGTGCCTCACCCGCAGCCCTGCAGGCCGCCTCTCTACAGACCAGCAGAGCAAGAGGACAGCCTCGCCCCGGTGAGGGGCCCGGCAGGTGGCAGGAGCAGCTCCCACAGACACATGTGGAGGATGTGAAACCACACAGCAACAGACGGTGCTATGGAACTGCGATCATTCTTCTTAGTCAATCCGATTTAAGAGGTCATCTGCACACAAAGATGGGCACCGCCAGCTTCTCGGTAAGTCCCTCCATGGCAATGAAAACTGCATTTCAAATTCCAACTCTCTGCCCAAGAATGTAAAGAAATCAAGAACTGAGAGATGGTAGTGCTGAGAGATTAAAACTACCCTCACAGGAATGAAAATAACATGAAGGTAAAGAATAGCAGCATTAAAACTTTAAACCTCAGGAAACAGTCTTCCTCTTAAGCAAAATGAGTAACTGTAAGAATCTTTCCTAGGAAGTACATCCACATTTTATGAAAACAGATACATGGACTTAACTGCATTTTCTACTATAAACAGTAAAGACTCTATAAATAAAACAATTCCAAACATACCTGATGCCCCTCTTTCATGTATAAGCAATTCTTTCTCCTTTTCTATTTCATCTGCAGCACGGTACATGTCCTCCTCGCTGAAATCACACCAAAGTAGACATTTTCAAACACGGGCACTGACATTTTCTGTTGCATCACAATAAGCAGCACTTACAAATGTAAAAGACACTGACAGTCTAACTTTTCCCGTCACATGGCGATAATTACAAAATACAGGATCCATCCTGGAGGCTTACGTTGCTCTCTCATCGCTTTCCCACTTCCCAAGTTCTTTAAATGCTCTTTATATCACTCTACTGTCTACACGGCGCTAAGGCCGCTTAATTAACACCTATTGGTGCTCCCACTCTATGGCCAGACATCCTAGCACAGATCTTATCAGTGGAACTCCTGAAGTGGTTCTGCCCAGTCCCAAGGGTAGGAATCACGCAGGAATGCAGGACAGCTGCCAACGTTTATGCCATGTCATAGCAAATCTGACAGTAGCTATTCTAAAATCAAGAAGAAGCATCCATGACTACAAGTCTCCAAGCCAAAGACCACCCTGAGGTTAGCCCTGCTCTCTAACCTTCACATTCAACGGCCGCACATACTGCAGCTGCTACTGCCTTGGTAACCACACAGCAGCTCTCCAAAGTGTCGGTAGTTTCCTGAGAGAACCAACAAGAGCCCACTAAGCACTAGAAAGGCAGATCACCCCCTGGGTGCTAGACCAAGATGAACAACAGGACCTCATTCTTGAAGGCATCTCGTTTTTCCCAAGACTCACCCCAAAAGGACAATGAAGGAACACACCAACTGTGCCTCCGCCCAAAGCAGAAGACATGTGGAAGCCCAAAGGAAAGCAGGGTGGAAAATGAGCCAGGCCAGGAAGCACATGTGGCGGGGGGAGTGGAAGGCAAGCGCGCAAGCCCAGCAGAACCCCAGAGAGGCTCAGGAGTTGGCGGCTCTCAGCCCTTCTGACGGTACCCTAAGCTAAAAACAAGAAGACAAGGTGGCATCCACGTGAGTAAGGAACACTCTGATCCCCAACTCCCTCAGCTCATACCAGACAGTATGGGGTCCCTCCAGATACAATGAATGGCACACAAAGGGGAGCTTATCAGGCTATAAACAAAAGGAATAAGGTCAATGACTGAGGCACCCCACTTCCAGTTCCCTTATTACCCAGCTCTTACTCTACAGCCCAGGACAACTCGGGGAAAGAAAGGGTAACACGAAGGGGTGCTGGGAGAGATGAGACTCTCATACACCCCTGCCGAAACCCTTCCATGTGCCCAGCACTTGGGAACCAATGTCAGAACCTGCATATCCACCAGCAGTCCACTGTAGGCTGAATTCCCCAACTCCCCATGATCTGGCACACTTCAGCCCAAACACCTGCCCATCGCGACACTGCTCCTCCACGCCTCAGACGCGCGCTAGGTGTCTTGTCTTTGCACCAGTTCCACTCCCTCCCTGCCTTCTTGCCTAACCCAGCCTGAGACCTGCTGTGTGGGCGAGACCTGTACAGAGAGTACTAGCCTGAGCAGGGCCCCAGCTAGGGAGAGCCAGCGTCAGACTCAGAGTCTCTCAGCCTAGCCCTGATTAGCTATAATGACAGCAGTTACCAGAGGAATGGCACCTCTCAGTGCTGTTTAACCACCTCCAAGAGTAGTAAGAGCATAACTGTGACCTCACAGAACTACTAGAGAAATAGGCACATGTAAAATAACTAGTAGGCTAAAGGTTAGCTGTGCTTGCAACTCTCCTGTATGTTTATTAGAGTACGTATTAACAAACTATTAGCCAGTGGTGCAGGGCATTCCTGGGGATGGAAACCCAGGCCCCAACCGTTACAGTACTTTTCTTTTCTCTTTTTTTTTTTTTTTTTTTTTTTTTTTGGCAGAACCAGGGATTGAACTCAGGCCCCTGTGCTTGCCAGGCAAGTGCTTATTCTACTGAGCTATCTCTCTGGCCCTACTACAGTACTTTTCATTCTATTTTTTTCTTTCCAAATAATTGGGGCTTGCTCTAATGATGGGGATTGGGTAGTAAGAAAACAAATACACCAGAAAAGGTACTTCGCTGGCTACCGTGAGATTTCAAGTGGAAGATGAGGAGTCACCCACAGCGCCTGTACCGTAGTTAAAAGCAAACAAATCTGATTCTAGAACTACTTACAGATTGAAGACCTAAAATAAAAAGCAGCCAAATGTACATTCATTCTTCTCTGGAAAACGGCACATCTTCCAGCTTTCCTCCCAGCTTTATGAATGAGAACGTTCTCATCCTCTAAAATAGTCCCCTAAGCAAATCACTCTCTTAATATTAGCAAAAGCGGGTCTGTGGGCAAAGCACTTCCTCAGGGCTGCCCTCTGTGATCTCATCTTCAGAACGAGAGACCAGATGAGCTCTACCAGCCACACTTCCTCTTCCAGTTCTTATAGTCTACAGTCTGCACGCTGTTAAGAACAGCTTGCTGCAAACTAAGGCTGTGGCTGCTCTGCAGGGATGTTTGGCTCCACCTTGGTTCCCTTCTTTTCTAATCTACAAAAACAGAATCACAGCACCAGTGCCCTGAGGTGAGGATGGGCTCCAAACAAGCATCTTACCACTCACAGAAACAAACTCCTACAAGGTCAAAAGGAACACAAGGGAAAGAAACAAACAGAACAGGAAAACTCAATATAAAGAGAAGACAGGACAGAAGGAGATTTCTGGGAATGAAAGCCAGGATTCAGAATACAGTACACCAAAGAAGCAAAGCAGAAACTGATGAATAAGAGGCCCAGAGTATATGCAAATTATGCAAATTGCTTTCACCACAAGCGGATTTCATTCAGAGCCTGTTAAGAGTATTTGTTAACTTACTTGGCCACCAAGGACATGTGGAAATTATAAATGACCCTTAAAAAACATCCCATGGGGCCAGTGAGACCGCTCAGCAGACTACAGCACCTGCTTAGGCAAGTACAAGGTCGAGTTTAATCCCCAGCACCACACACCGCACCAGCCCCGCTCCCAGCCAGAGTCTGAGCAGGGTGGTGGCGCAAGCCTGTAATCCCGGATTTCTGAGCTATGTAGTGAGACCCTGTGACAACAAATATAATTAAAAAAAAAAAAAAAAAGCCACAGCCGCATCTCTCTGAAAGAAAGTACAAGTTACAAACCTAAGTAATGAAATAAAGTTCAGTCAACACAGAAATGCATTGAACAGAAGAAAAATTAATGCATTTACTGTAAGAAAAAATAAAGTAATTTTGTCTTAAAATACTTCAAACTTTTGCCTTAAGTTTTAAGTACCAGAATATTAAAGCTGAATATAATGACAAAATGAAATTATATTTAAAAGTGAGAATGTGAATTAGAGGTTTGGTTTGAATTTTTCTTACAGGAAGGATAGTCAAACAACGAAAGAAAAAGATAAAGTAAAACTTAGAGCTGAACAATGCCAGAACAGGTAACTGTGTGTGCTGGGTTGGAGGCAGGAAGGTGTCCACTCTGCAAAAGGAAAACAAGAGGTCACTGAGGCCTGCAGCCCTGGGAGATCACCAGCACACGTTTCCTTCTAGAAAACGTAACTGGAGAAGTGGCAAAATAAGACATTGCTATCAGGGACTCCTTTTCCAGGCACAATGCCAGGGCTGGAAGACAGCTCAGCAGAATAAGCGCCTGACTGGCAAGTGCAGAGGCCTGAGTTCAATTCCCGGGACTGCAAATAACAATAATAAGTTTCAGAGCCAAAATAAGAATTGCTAGTTAGAAAATTAACTTATGCCATTATTAAAAAATGCATTTTTATTAATACACTATACGTAATTTTCAAGTTCCCACTAAACCTATTTCTCATAAGTTGAAGATGAAATATTTTAGTATTAAGATGATATGCTATCTTGAGTAAGCTATATAATACTGCACAGTGGTAACTGGTATAAGTGGTTATAAGTGGTAACTGGTACTCACTTCAAAACCCTCCATACTAACAAATTTTTGAAGACTTTTTTTCTCACTATCATAAAAACAAAGGCATACTATTTCTAAGACCAAAAGCTGAAAGTTAAAAGCAGAGCTCAGTGAAGCAGAAGATATTTCTGTGGAACTAATTTTTCAATTTTTGATGAAAGCAAAGATGTTAAAAAAAAATTCCAACAGATACACACAAAGCTAACAAGACAGAATTTTAATCACCATGATGAAGTCTTATAGCAAGATGCCCTTGGCCAGCTAACAGAACCGAGTATGGCTTTGTCTCCAGCTCCCTGAACTTGAGCCTTGCAGCTCCTGCTCAACTTAGCCTGTCTGGACTAAACGGCACAGGCAGTGTGGGTGACACAACACGTATGACAGAGACACTTCATCCTACAGACACAGAAGAAACCAAGACCTCTCAGCCCAACCCTTCTCCACTGCTGAGTGGCTGTAGAGAGAGGTGAACAGCACAGTAAATGCAGGAAAGTACCAGCATCCAAGCCAAAATTCCATCTACATCTTGCAAGTGGACTTTCCATGACTGGCTCACATGACCCCATGTGACTTCCTCGGGTATGTAGGTAGAGACAACACCACCACCCTCAACAAGGACATCTGATTCCTAGACACAGCCTAGCTCTGATCCCCGAGGCAGGCTTTCTCCTCCATCAGATGGGAAAGGAGATGAAATTGGTGTTATCTGCTGTGCAAAACTTATCTCCATTCTATAGCCTAGGAGCTTGGGGTGGGGTACAAAACACATCACACAGCAATAGTATGCTTAGCATACTGCTACTAGGACAACAGTTTAACACTTTTGGAAAGACTGACAACCTTTTTGAGAATTCACAACTTTCACTGACCCAGAAACAAATACGAATTTTGCATTCAACTTGATAGGACTTCAAACAGTGTATCCTCACACACAGCTTTGAGCCCCAGGTTCAAGTCCTGTCCCACCCTCAGGAAGAACAAGAGGCCACCAACCATGATCTCAAGAACCAAGCCATGGACAAGAAGCAGACACAGGAGTCAAATGCTGGCAGCAAGATGAGCAGGAGATAAAGCATTGGAGACCTGCTAGGAATGGGGAGAGAACTTTCAGAACTAATTAATCTGGCCAAATATCAGACCTCTTCAAATGTAACCCTAAATTATCCTGTGAGCTATCCCGGGAGTTTTGTCTGAGAGACACCAGCCAACCACAGATCTCAAACAAGCTGATTAAAAAGTAAAACTCCAATGAGATTTAAAAAATACCTTACCCATGTGGTTTCTGTCCTACTTCTCCTTCCTTGTGAAACACAGTGAGCTTGCTGAGACAGAATAGCCTGTATTGTTAGAAAACAAGCCGCCCCTCATGGTCTTCAAAGAGTCACAGCCCGGTGAATAATTTAGGAGATAGGCTGAAGAGTGCAAGAGACGGGCTACGATTTGTATTCATAACTACTTTCCAATAAGTGTATTAAAAATGACTCCATGGAATATCTTAAGGTCTACAGTCTTCTTACGTTGCATATTTGCAAACACTTTAATTGATTCTGTCTGGGTGGAAAGAAAGGCCTCAGCACCAATGACTAAAAACCAGATTTTTAAAAGGGTGCTAATTATGAAATTCGCATTCAAACTACTGAGCGGCACATGTTTGCATGACATGCAGCAGTTTCTCTTGTCCATGAGAAAACGTTACAGGGCAAAAGGATTATCATCACACAACCCACAGAATACTGCTGATTGAGAAAAATGAACTAGGCTAGGATGCCCAACACTTAAGACTTAAGTTTAAAAGTTGATATTTGAAAGTTAGACTATCTCCTTGATTTCTCCATCTAATGAGAGTTGAAGGGGAATGAAATAATTAAAGGCAACAAAGGCAGGAAGAGAAAAATCAAGCTGCTAATAAAACCACACACCAGAATATCTATTACAGGAAAAAAACAACAAAATCCCTGATGCTTGCTGTCATTACAAATCTCGTCCCTCTGCTCTGCTTCACTAAGGAAGCCTGGGGTAGCAGGCAGTGTGGAGAAGCTCCCACCCAAGCATCGTAAAGACACTTGGCCAAAGTACCTGTACTCCCTGGCCAAGCCGCACCCAAGGAATCTGCAACCATCTCCTACAGTGTGTCATGACAAACCTGTAGTATGGTTTTTAGCGTCCCTTAGCTGAAAGCCCACTGACACAAGACAAGAGGCACTGGTGCCTTAAACTTTTCCTCCAGGAAGCACTCCTCTCCACCATGGTCCAGGGAGCTCAGACTGAGAACCCATGCACCAGAAAACCTGTCAGACATCTAGGGTTCAAGCTTAAACTCAGGTATCTAAGTGGAGGCTCAGGGGAGCAGTAGCAGCAGGCAAGAATCAGCAAGAAACAGTGGGGCAGAGGCAAAAAATTCCCTCCTTCACTCTGCAAACTCAGGTAGGTCGGTCTCTGACCCATACAGCACACTGGTGGCCACAGACCATATCAACTCATTCCTGCACCTCTACAGTGTGTAAATTTTAAAGAGAAAAGGAGGATGCTACTTAAAAATCTGGGTATTTCATACAAAAACTAGTATATCTGAATTCTTTATACTAGAAGAATTCAACAGCTGAATTCCCAACTGCTGTCAGTTGGAGCTCTGGGGACACTTGCCAACACAAGCTTTTTACATCCCCAAAGACAACACTGACAGGATAACTTAAATTACCTATCTCTCACAGCAGGAGAGACCTCCTACTCAGACTCTCTCCAGAGACCGTGAACCCATTCCATAAATCACTATCACACTTGAGTGCCAATAAATGACACCATCAAGCCCAAGTAAAGCGCTATGCTAATAAGTTATTAAGTTACACTATATACGTAACTGGCCCCCAAAGGACTCCTTTATAGATTAAAAGAGGAATAAAAAACGTCTTAGAGGTGTATTTAAAAACACTTTACAATTAACTTTCCAGAGAATTAAACTTGCCAAATTAGCTGTCCAAGTGCTTTCGTCAATTTTGGAACGTCAATGTCATTTATACGCACCTAGAACTCGAAAGTATGGAATAGTTTCACTCAAGTTCCAATCTGGCTTCCACCCGCACCCCCAGACCCTTGAAGAAACTAACTCCGATTTTCACCGTTGGTACTGACTTTACGCGGTTAAAAAGGAGCCGAAAGGAGGCGGCTCAGGCCGGGCAGGGCAGCGCAGGGCTGCACGCGGCGCCACGGTTGTCCGAGGTGGACGCGCCGCGAGCGGGGCCGCCGGGCTTCTCCCGCCAGGCTGCAGCACAGCGAGCGCCCCGCCCCCGCGCTGCGCCCCC